ATAGTCACATTAGAATGTCATATTATTGCCCAGGTAGTTATTTTATATATTTTTTTTAATACATGTACTTTTTATACTTCCATTCCATTAAAATTGAACACAGTATAACAATGTGAATATGTTCAAGGAATGTTACCCTGAATGCAGAAAGCGAGTGCCCAGATGAAGATGGTGATAAAAGTCATTGCTGCTGTGGGTTCTGTTGCCATGAAGGACAGCTCTCAGTCATCAAGTGTTAAACTCACAGGACTATAAACACTCCCAGAGCACTGAAGCATGTGCTGCCAATGCAAAGTGTCTTCTCTATGCAAATGGTCTTACTGGGTACAGCAGGCACTTGTAGCCCAGCAGTGCTGTGGAGGCAGACTAGGGCTTATGGGCTGTGACACAGACAGAGCAGTTTAACACTGGTGTAACAGTGTCTGGACAGCAGAACCACAGTCCAAACCAACATCTTATAAAACTCTTGCTTGTTCAGCACTGTAAACTCATGCTGTTTTATAAAACATTTTATTATTTTAAATTTACAACATAGAATTGAAAAGAATTCACATCATTCTGTTTCCCAGCAACAGTTGTAAGTTCAAGTGATTTAGAATTTTCAGTATTTCAGCTTCTATGATGTCACAATAGGAATGTTCGTAAAATGCGAACAGCTACCAATTAATATGTCATTTGGACTTTTCATAGATTGCAACTATATCTTACCAAAATTTACCAGTCACTTAGAATAGTAGAAGACAATATTGTGTTCCACTATTTTCTTGGACAGTTACATCCTTCAGACTTGTAAGTAGATACCTAAAGCTTTTCATCAATTGCAGGGTCTCTTTGTCATTACTTTAAAATTAATTGATCAGTTCTGTGTCTGGATCTAACAGGTAGGCTACAGAAATTACAGGAGTTTTAACGTTTTACCTTAATATTGCTTGTTAGCCAGTCAGCTATGTGGGGTAACTCAAATAAGGGTGTTATATCATATTTGGGAGTGGTCAATGTTGGTGCAAACTTGTTTTGCCATAAGGTGCTAGTATTTCCTTTCTGAATTAATTACACTTCAGAAATTACACTACAGAAATTATTATGAATGACCACGTACTTCCTAGCTGCTGGGACTGTTTCTTCCTAAATTTGTGAATCAACACTGAACATTCTTTTAGCTTTGAGGGACTGTGGGACAGAATGTACTGAATTATATCATCAAGCTTGACATCTCTGGCCTGTAATTCTGGTCAGTAAAATCAGTGCATATTAAAAGCAGCTGAGTGAGATTAGGACTGTGCTCCAAAAAATAAGTATATTCTCAGAGAAGTCCTCAAAGGTCGGAAGTTTGCAAATTAAATAATGGAATTTATTCTTTTAATATAGCCAGTTCTGCACAATATACAATTTGCTTGTAGCTCAGCTAAAACATTGCATTATCCTGGGTATTGTTGTGACAGACCTAAGGTGTACCTTGAAATGGTACCTTTCCATAAAAACCAAAAGTGCTTGTTTTGCCTTGTTGTTAGGTAAGTCAATAATGGTTTGATTAGTTTCAAACAAGTAATTTAAGTGACTTTCATTCACATGATGATGTTGCAGAGTGTTGTGTCTGGTACAAAGAGAGGACAGTACAGTCGTTTGAGAAGGGCCCAGGTGAAGTTGTACTTTCTCCTGTCTTATATTTGCTTGCCTTATAATTTGCACAAAGTTGAGGAAAACACATGAGGAAAACTTAAACACAAGCACATGACTGTGAAATACGGAAGTAAAAACAATAACAACAAAAACAAAACCGGCTAAGAAACCAGCTGACATAACATCAATTACAGTAACAGTGATAATAAGAATGAATGTGGAATAAGCAGATAATGTGTAACAGAACAGGGCAGTGGCACAGGGAGGGTGGGATCTCCTTCTCTCTGTATCAGACCCATGATGATCTGTGTCTGATCCAGCCACCTCACTACCCAGCATTCCCTTCACCTTACATAAACCTGCTAAACCCTGCAGATACCAACTGAACCCAAACCAAGGTTCATTTCTCCAAATCAATGATCATATGTTAGTCATAATATTGACTCTGTTTTCTCTACATGCATTTGGAATGGGAAGCATCCCTGTATATATGTGAGGTTTTTCTATTCAGACCCAGGAGTTAGCTTTACCTATCTTCCAGCATTACTACTGCTCTGCTAACATTCACTGCATTTTATTGTGTAAAAGCTTTCCCTCACAGCACACAGGACCTTCATGGGTGACTATGGAGGCCAGATCATGCTGCTCACCCCGCCTGTCTGGGCTTATATGTGGCTCATTGGCCCTCACCAATCCCTAAAGCTGTAAGAATCCTGTGGTGAAGCAGTCACTCACAATATGGGTTCAGTTCAGGATGCACTTTGGGCTTCAGTCCTCCTCTCTGCTCTACTCTACTGCTGAAAAGCATTGTTTTGCTTCCCTTTTCCATGAGTCTGCATTCAGAAAGGGATTTAAACCATTTGAAAAGATTGTTTAAGAAAATTCATTCATAATTTATTTTTCTGTTTCAATTATCTTTTAAGAGTAATATCTCAAGCTCTTGAAAAAGTGGGGGCATATCGCTTCACTGTATAAGATTAGAGAGTGTGAGAGAGTTATAACTGAACCACTGAAGCTCAGTGTGCTGGAGCAGAACCCCTCAGTGTCCCGGGTCAGTGCCTCCCCCCTCAGCACCTGCAGTACGTCCCAGCTGCAGCAGTGCAGTCTCTGTGCAGTCTGACTGAGGGAGGTTTTTGTACGGCTCTCTATCACTGTGTGAACACAACACTACTGCTGATCACATGTGCGCTCTGACAGTAGTAATCTCCTGCATCTTCAGCCTGGACTCCACTGATGGTCAGAGTGAAGTCAGTCCCAGATCCACTGCCACTGAATCGATCAGGAATCCCTGAGTTACGGTATGTTGCATCATAGATCAGGAGTTTAGGAGCTTCTCCAGGTTTCTGCTGATACCAGGCCATATAGTGATAACCACCACTGGTGTACACTGCGGGGCTGGTTCTACAGCTCAGGATGACAGTGTCTCCTATGAGAGCAGATTTACCAGCAGGAGTCTGAGTCACAGTCACCTGTCCTGTGCATTCTGAAGGAAATCACAAACAGCATACATCACTGTTATCCATATGTAGGGAATATTATGATAAACAGTGATACTAAATAAACCAATATTTGCTAAATTTGCATTACATTTATATTAAAACAAGCAAGCAATACATCATATACTTGAGTAGTTTTTTGAATCTCACCCCAAATACAGAAAGCGAGTGCCCAGATGAAGATGGTGATAAAAGTCATTGTTGCTGTGGGTTCTGTTGCCATGAAGGACAGCTCTCAGTCATCAAGTGTTAAACTCACAGGACTATAAACACTCCCAGAGCACTGAAGCATGTGCTGCCAATGCAAAGTGTCTTCTCTATGCAAATGGTCTTCCTGGGTACAGCAGGCACTTGTAGCCCAGTAGTGCTGTGGAGGCAGACTAGGGATAATGGGCTGTGACACAGACAGAGCAGTTTAACGTCTCCAGAGACAGACCAGGGTCAAAGTCCCAGTGCCCCATCAATGGGTCAGCACATACACATGACTAACTCTGTGCTGCCAAATGCTGCTGTTCCCATTCAAAGTGTTCCAGAAACCATCATTTTCATTAATTACAACAGTTTTTAAACTACATCTTTAAACCTCTTACTCAAAACTTCCAAACTAAATAAGGTGACCACCTCTTCCCATTGAACCACCGGTGGGTCATCCAGACAGACAGACGGTGGTTCCACATGTTTGTGTTTCCATTAAAGAGTTCCAGATTCTGTCCAACTGAGTTACAGCTTTTAATGTCAGAGAATGAAAACTATATCTATTTGAATGAAGATGTGTGCACGTATCCCTTTAATCTCTCTTATCACTGACATGAAATAAAGGCCAGTGCCATGTTGCTCTGTCTGTTTAAGATTTTTTGATAAGTTTTTATCATATTTTTAATCTGTCCCAGTTTGTAACACCAGTCATTTTGTCAAGGCCATCTCATTGGTGCAGACCAGCTCTGATCATGACTGGCCAAGTCAGGATTTGATACAAAAGTATAGCTTCCACTTTGCTGTTGTAGTGTCATTACATCTTGGGCAATAGTGGTGGTGTGTCTCCCCCCGGTGGAAACTGTATGTAATGGCAGCTTCTGTGACATCGAATTGAACTACCGTCGATTGAGTGGATTCAAAAAAATGTACACTACATATGAATGCCATTATTTAAAAAAGGTTTTTCATATAACCACTCTTATTCATCCATGGGACTTAAAAACTATTGCATGTACAGACAGTGCTCAGTGTATTAGATGAGAGTTTATCTGAGAGTTATTATTGAAGCACTGAAGCTCAGTGTGCTGGAGCAGAACCCCTCAGTGTCCCGGGTCAGTGCCTCTCCAGTGCCTCATATGTGGTCCAGGACTTGTGCTTCTTTGAAAGTCGGCCCTCTAGTGCCGGTGCTTCTGCATTGCTTACAATGAGCAGCTTATTTAAATTTGCGGGACCAGGTGTTTGGCGGCTTGATCCAAGCGATGCCTTAAATTAAGCACTGAAAAGCCCAACAATGCAGCACAGACACTGGGCATGAACTGAGCACTCATACAAAAATATTTTTTCACTCCTTTGATGGGTTTTTATTTTTGCTGAGGGATTGGCAGCGGATGGGCGTTTCTCCTCATGCTATTTGACCCACGCACCCACACCAGCCGCAAACACGGCATCTGCCCGTTTTCACTACTGACTTCATCCCCTTGTCCTGGACCTGAGCCTCTTCAAGAGAATTTGGTGCTGAAATACAAACTCCAAACGGCTGTAAAGGAGCTGGAGTTGAATGGCTTTGGTGAGGACGGCCTTTTCAGCTGGTCTCTGGGGGAACAACGGTCGGTACATGATTGAGAGGTCATACATGATGGCCAAGAGCCTCGCCAAAGTTCTACAATAAGGAAGGAGAGAAAGTTCTGCTGTCCCTGGGTGGGCTCGAACCACCAACCTTTCAATTAACAGCCAAACACACTCGATCCATTGCACCACAGAGACTACGTTGCACCCCTTCTTTTGGCCTGCATTTAACAGAGTAACATATTGGGAGGGGCCTCAGCATGAAGAGGGTAGAAAGGGTTAAGTTCATGTAATATAAATGAATTGTTTTACTAAATGTGACCCTGTGCAAACTTATGTGTGCATGTGGTGGAAAAGTACTGGGGCAACTAGAAGAGACTGTGCAGAGAGCAAGATGTTTTGCAAAACTGTACCACGGTTGTCTTGAGGAGAAGAACAGCTATTCAAAACTCAAGATTTCTTTATTGTCATTTTTCTTGCACTTACATACAATCAAGAATGAAATACCGTTCCTCCAAGGGCAACAGTGTACATAAATTAAAATAGAGAATTAAAAGAGCGTTTATAAAAAGACTTGTATAAAATATAAAACAATACAATAAGCACAACAACATACAGCAATACACAATACACACAATACATACACACAATACAACCCAATACACATGGTGCACCAAAGAAAAAAAGAAAATTAGCAGTATATATGGAGGGGAATAGCAGCATATACTGTAAATGACCTTTGTCTCTACATAAAGTGCATTATGCAGTGTGAAAATGGCACTAGTGGAGTGAAGTGTCTGGTACTATGGGGAGTTAATGGTTTTGTGGTGGAGGGGGGTGCAAGAATGTTTATGATCCTCACAGCCTGCCGTATGAAGCTGTTTAGAAACCTGCTGGTCCTGGTACGGATACTTCCGTACCTCTTCCCAGATGGCAGGAGGGAAAACAGGCTGTGGGAGGGGTGGTCGGGTCCTTGGTGATGCTGGAGGTTCTGTGGGTGCAGCGCTGGTTGAAGATCTCCAGCAGGGAGGGGAGAGGGACACCAACGACCTTCCCAGCTGTTCTCACTATCCTGCTCAGCTGTTTCTGTTTGGAGGTTTTGCACTTTCAGAACCAGGCAGTGATACAATAGGTCAGAACACTTTCAATGGTGCCCCTGGAGAAGGTGGTGAGGGCCGGAATGGGGATGGCCATGGTGTTGGTGGGCGAGGTCAGGTCATTTGCCATGTACGCTCCCAGGAAATTGATGCTACCGACCCTCTCCACAATCGCACCATCTACAGTCAGCAGGGGTGGTGGTCCGTGCGGGCCTTACTGAAGTCGATGATCATCTCCTTGGTCTTGTTAACATTCAGGGAGAGGTTGCGTCTGTTGCGCCACGCTGTCAGCTGCTCCACCTCCATCCTGTATGCTGACTCATCACCTTTGCTGATGAGACCCACAACTGTCATGTCATCAGTGAACTTGATGATGTGGTTGTTGCTGAATCTGGCAGTACAGTCGTGGGTCAGCAGGGTGAACAGCAGGGGGCTCAGGACGCAGCCCTGGGGTGAGCCTGTGCTCACTGAGGTGGTACCTGATGTGTGGCTGCAGACTCTGACTGTCTGCTGCCTTTGTGTCAGGAAGTCCAGGATCCAGTTACAGGTGGCAGTATCCACATCCAGCTTCTCCACCAGTTGCTGTGGTATGATGGTATTGATAAATACATAAATCTGTCACAGAGCTATCTGCATTTTCAAACTCCAATGCCCTGTCAGTCTCTCCCAAAATGAAGAGAGAGCCTCCATCTCTGATCAGCACTATGGGCAGTTATGTAATTGGGCTGTGGGACTCAGTCAGGACTGCCTCAGATACCAAAGTGTATTCTCCACTCCACTGTTATGACAGGGTAGATGAATATGGATATGCAGAGTCTCCATCTTGTGATCAGTATATGTAATGGCAGCTTGCATAATGTGTGTTGAAGGAAAGACCTCTGGACTGTCCTGGACAGAGAGTTCACTGTTGCTTTCCACAGATATGTTATGTACAACTACAATACATTCAAAATATTATGATATAATACAAAATGGCATTTCACTGATTGATCGGGCAGATTTGAATTGTATTCATTGTCATCTGAATTTGGAATAACTAACCTCTCAATGCTTGGATATCCTGACCTTAAATTCAGTCTTAGTATATATTTTTATTAGTTGCATGAGAGTTTATTGACCCATTGAAGCCCTCAGTGTCCCGAGTCAGTGCCTCCCCCCTCAGCACCTGCAGTAGGTCCCAGCTGCAGCAGTGCAGTCTCTGTGCAGTCTGACTGAGGGAGGTTTTTGTATGGCTCTCTATCACTGTGTGAACACATAGCTACTGCTGATGTAGTGTGCACTCTGACAGTAGTAATCTCCTGCATCTTCAGCCTGGACTCCACTGATGGTCAGAGTAAACTCACTCCCATGATAAGCTCTACTGCCACTGAAGCGGGCAGGAATCCCTGAGCTACGCTGATCTGTTAAGTAGATCAGGAGTTTAATGCTGTCTTTAGCTTTCTGTTGATACCAGTTAAAAACATAGTTTCCTTTGTTAGAGCTGTAATATACTTCAGGGCTGGGTTTACAGCTCAGAGTGATCGTCTCTCCTGGAACTGCAGTTTTCACAGCAGGAGTCTGAGTCAATGTCACCTGTCCTGTGCATTCTGAAGGGAGGAATCAACAAACAACCACATTATCCTACTATAACCACATCACATACATACTGAATATCACATACTGAATTAACCTGTGGCTTTCACATGGATAAATATTGCATGAAAATACAACAAAAAAAATTTGAGTACTCACCCTGACTGCAGAAAGCGAGTGCCCAGATGAAGATGGTGATAAAAGTCATTGTTGCTGTGGGTTCTGTTGCCATGAAGGACAGCTCTCAGTCATCAAGTGTTAAACTCACAGGACTATAAACACTCCCAGAGCACTGAAGCATGTGCTGCCAATGCAAAGTGTCTTCTCTATGCAAATGGTCTTCCTGGGTATAGCAGGCACTTGTAGCCCAGCCACTGTCTCTCTGATGCCAAATGCAGATTTTTCCTTTCAGAGTGTTCCAGAATAATCCATCTTAAGTGATTTTGAAGTGATTTGCCCATTGTGTTTGACCACCTCCTCCAATTGGCCCATTGTGTGTGACCACCTACTGCCATTGGCCCGTTGTGTGTGACCACCTACTGCCATTGGCATGCTAACTGTGACCACCGACTGCCATTTGCCTGTTGTGTGTGAACACATCCTCCCATTGCTTTGTTGTTTTTGACTACCTACTCCCATTGGCCTGTTGTGTGTGAGCACCTTCTCCCATTGGCCTATTGTGTTTGACCACCTCCTCCCATTGGCCCAGTATGTGTAGCCACCTCCTCCCATCGGTTTAGTGTGTGTGACCACCTCCTCCCATTGGCCCATTGTGTGTGACCAACTCCTCCCATAGGCCCTGTGGTGGCTCATCCTGACAAATACGTGAATATCTCAGTGATGCCACAGGCAAGTGTTTCCACTCAGAGAGACCCAGAATCTTTCTAACAGAGTCAACATTTCAAATCTCACAGGATTAAATATTTGCCAAATTACATGAATATGTGTGCACATACCTCTGTGATCTTACTCTCGAATTCTACATCATTTCAAGAAAGGGTATTCTTATAAAGTAGAATTTTCCTTGTAAAGATGATTACTTTATGGAATGTATTTTTATTGATTTCAGTTGATTATCAGATAATAACTTTTAGGTTTTACTGTATATTTGTATAAAAGTAAGAGCATGTTTGCCTGGGTCTTCTGAATCCAGTGAGGTGCAAACATTGGATATACTATGCAGGTACAACAGACTGTAAGTTCCCAAATAAAAGGAGTACAAATAAAACTACATTTAGAGTTTCAGAAGAAACTTTGAGTTTGCATGTGATTGCACTGTCCACTGTGTAATGAGATGTGTATTTATGCATTGTCATGTGTGGTGCTGTATGATGAGGTGTAAAACAGGTCCACCCCACAGAAAGACAAATATGATAGACTATGATGACCATTCACTGCAAGGTAAAAGTGAGCAGTGCATAAGTGTGGTCATGGTTCATTTAGTGGGTAAGCTACAGCATGGGTAAGTAGCATAAATCAGGTAAAGGTTTACTGGATGATGATGATGATGAAAATTATTGTTATGATTATTATTATTGCTGTTGGTAATGATACTGGTATTTGTTTATAAAGGATATACGTTTATTATTATATCACTATATTTATGATTATTATATCATCATCATTATGAATGTGTAATTATCCACAGGGCATTACTGTAGTAGAAATATTACTGGTCAATCTTGTTGTGTTTCACCATACCTGTATTAATATATTGTTGTTCTGCTACTCGTAGTAACTTAGAATACCAAAGCTAACATAGCAAAACCAGAGCATCCATGTAAGAAAACCTTAGTAAGCCCCTATCATGCTATAGAAACTGCCCAGCAATATCCTTAGAACCACATAGAACGCCATTGCAAAGGTGTTCTTGGGGGTTGCTATGGTGTTTTAGGTGGTTACTAGGGTGTTGCGAGGAGGTTGTTATGGTGTTCTAAGTTGTTTTCAGGGTGTTGCTAGGCAACAACTTTGAACACCATAGAAACCACCGAGCAACACCATAGCAACCACCTAAAACACCATAGCAACCACTTAGAATATCATAGCTAGTGTCTAGCAACACCATAACAACTACGTAGAACACCATAGCAACGCCATATCAACCACATAGCAACACATTAGTAACCACCTATCATGCCATAGGAACTGCCCAACAACATCACAACAACCATTTAGAATGCCATTGCAAAGATTTTTCTTGGCGGTTGGTATGGTGGTTAAGGTGGTTGCTATGGTGTTTCTAGATGGTTGCTATGGTGTTCTAAGTGGTTTTTAGGGTGTTGCTTGGCAACAACTTTAAACACCATAGAAACCACCTGGCAACACCCTAGCAACCACCTAAAACACCATAGCAACCACCTAAAACACCATAGCAACCACTTAGAATATCATAGCTAGCGTCTAGCAACACCCTAGCAACTACATAGATCACCATAGCAATGCCATATCAAACACAAAGCAACACATTAGTCACCACCTATCATGCCATAGCAAATGCCTAACAACATCATAACAACCATTTAGAATGCC